GACTAAGCCGTTCGTAGGTTACACGACGTATCTGTTTGAAAAGCGACCGACACGCCAAGACCGGTTCTCTGGTGTCAACGGCTCACACCGCTAATTGTTACTGCGCCACTTCGATCACCTCCCTCCACGTGCTTCCCGGATCACGTTTCACGGCTCACAACGAACAGGAGGAACCGTCGATATTACACTAATGATTTTTCACCCGGTGTGCAACATATAAAAAAATCATTTTACAATAATAAAAATGTGGTGGGATTATAATCAGTAATGTAAATTGGGTGCGCATATTTTTAAACTGGGTTTCAATTTTTGCGGCAATAAAAATTTTTGAATTTATAACACTGATTATATGCATAAAATGTACTAGCGGAGTGATCTGCTATTGTAAATAATTTTTTTATATGGGTGAAGGATCAGTTCCTCCTGTTAAATCGATCTATTAATAAAAAACTGCTACGTAATAACTATGGTGTATAGTCATAATCTTTTTTGGAATAAATCTCACATAAAATCGACCAGATTTGAATGCACTCTAATAATCATACGATTCTCTTAAATTAATTACCGAAAATGGCAAGTTGTAACAGATTTAGATCTAGAAGCTACTTGTATGCACAGCCACAAGAAATTAATCAGAAAAGCTAGCATAACGATAAGGATTTATCTTATCTCACGTTTAAACCTGATAGATTCATGTAATGTTTTATGATATAAATTATTAAGCGTATTCGATATTGTATTCTTTTATATTAATGTAATTACAGCTATTACGTTTATTTAACTGACCATTGTCACAGATAAGGATGTTAAATTGGTTCGAATAAATGTTTCATTCTAACCAAATTTGAATAATTATATAACGTGATCACAGTTCTTGGTAAAGGGATGACCAAAAAAAGGATGCACAGACAATGATCACGCTGTCCAATAGATTTTGAGATTTCGAACACAGCAACTTGCCAGTAAACAATACACATCGTTTCACTATGTTCCTGGTATTCGTTTCATTGCGTTCCTGGTATTCGTTTTACTACGTTTCTTCTTATACGTAGTCTCTCAGCAAATATGGATCACCTGATTTCTCCCATTCGTCTTGCATCGAGCTTAATAAGAACTGATTATACATGTGAATAGGTTTCTTATATTTAGCTGGCATTTATATTAAATATAAACAGTCAACACTTACAAGTTATAGTGTAAATTAGTTACTTTACAATAATCGACCTAAAAAGAGATACAAAGTATGTTGAGATTCAACTCGGCAGTGTTATGCGCAACGACGTAATGTAGCTACCTTATTGAATATACAAATTCTATTTTAATAAAGTTAGGCTTAGTTATAGTCACTTTTGCTTTTGATATAATTGCAATATTGTTATAGTCACACTGTTTTTTAACCTTAGCAGTTATAAATTATATATATATATAGATATAAAATTGTTACCTTCATATAGTCACAACCTTCTATAATCACTAAATTCACAAAATATGAAAAGGTAACACTAAATATTTCCGCATTTGTATAGTGTAAAAAAGTTTAAATCGGTTTCTCAGAACTTTATTATTATCGATAAAGCTTGTAAGATTGGCTGCATCAATATTTGTTGTACCTCTTATTTCACTCCTTAATCATATAGATACATTTATTTGCAAATGAAATAAAATATTTTAAATTAGATGAAATTATGATTGAGGCCGTGAAACTTTCATGACGTATGAGGCTTCATAATCGTATGATAATTAATGGGCTGAGTAAACAAACGCGAATTAAAGATTCTCTCATTATACGTAGCGATGCACCGAAAAGAAACTGGGTATCAGGCTCAGAAAGAAAGAAAAACGTATGATTTCTCGAATGCATTATTACATACAATAGTATTGAGTGTAGAAGCTTCTTTTGCTAAAAAAAGTTATAAAAGAGTTGACATGCGAAGTCAAAGAACAACCTTCGGGTTAAAATCTTTGCACAAAGACCCTAAACTTTTTATATAACACTCTTGCTAAATTACTAAGTCACGTCTTTTTAAAACTTCATTGATTATCTCCGTTATTGTGTATTACGATTCGCTCCGTAATATAATTATGTCTGATCCGGTCTATAGTTTTGAAAAAGTTGAAGATTTCTTCTCAAATTACGAGGGTTGGACGAGACTTGGTAATGTTCTCAGTCACGATTACAATCCTGGTACTCGTACGCTTACCCTAACTATCGAAGGTGGATACCCTCAAGGCCAATCATGTTGTCTCCTGATTCAGCTGCTTGGGTATAATGTTTTTCGCGTACGCTTTGACCCAAGTAAGAGATGCGCTGATGACTATATTACAAACAACACTCGTGCAGTAGTTATGGACACATAGGTAAATCTTCAGGATGATGGGGCCAATTCACCACATATTTTAATAATGGTCCAAATACAATTGGAATTGATACAATACACACGGATGGTTACACACAATTCATGAAGATTGAAGTAGGTCTTAATCCATTCTCTATTAGAGTTGATCGTTTTGAAGGTGGGCATCTATACCCAATTTGGACAACTAACGGAGAAATAGGATTACGTTGGAGCGAAGTCAAAGATGGTAATGTTACAACTACCTTCAAAATCGTCCAAGTCGTAGATAAATCTCCAACCGCAAAGTACGCTGGATTTGGTGAACATGGAGGAGTTGGTTTATTTAAAAATTC